ATTAATTTTGAGTATGCCCAGTGTCTTTCTGCGTCCATTCATTTCGAAAACGTCTATTCAGCTTGTCGGTAATACAAACTGATAGTTAATGTGTAGTCCGAGCAATCCTTGGCATTTTAGGTCTTCATGCAATGAACTCATTGGGTGTTAGTTTTAGGAGTCGATTGCGTCCTCTTTTCGGCGCGAGGTTTCTACTTATCACTTTTACCCAGTTTCACGTTGTATTCTATTCTGCACGAACCCTTCCGAATACATTTGCGTTCGTTACTGGTAAGGATAAGTTGTGAACACAACTTCAAAATTTAATTTTTTCGTTTTTGGTGTATATACATGTGTTGCCACATAACTATTATAAGCATTTTTGAAAATGTGAGCACTGCATCATTGTCTAATGGCCTCCTGCGTGTGGCTTTTAGCCTTGGAAATGAAATTTAGTTAATGTAACTTCTCCATCATACGTTATTTTATACATTACATTCCCTGATTTCGCTCGGTTTCCCTTTTTAATAAAAGATTGCTATCGGCCATTCACAGTTGGTGCCATCGTCGAAAAGTTGGATCTGCTTAAGTCTAGTAAAATATGTTTTCAAAGTTAAGTGAACTCTCACAGCCAACTATCAGTCGAATAAAATAGTTTGTTATTTGCGTTGTCTGATACTCCTCATTTAAATGCCTTAATATCTTACGTTTATTCGTCTAGTGATATTAGTCTTAGGTATTTTTACTCATTTTTCATATTTTAGTTATGTACGCCCTTGGATCTCTACTACGTGGTCTAGATTGCCAATTCATCATGCTATCTGGACTTGGGATCCTAGTTTTCCGGTGTGAACTTATGCTGTTATATGCACCACTTCTTATATTCGGATTGTACTTTCAGTTTGTTAAAATTCGACCGGTGCTTATTGCCACTGGACTACTAACCACCTTGGTGGCCATCTGTAAGTTCGCACGCAGATTACAGTTTCGCGCTATTTTTGTCTTGAATTTACGACCACTCTATCTCTTGGCTGTATGTTTAGCGATTAATCTCCATACAAAGCCTATCATAAACAACCGACGCAACTTGCCTAAAACAATCGCAGAATCTATTTGTCTTACGTGTATGTATTTGCATTTTGGAATTCGATATTTGGATACTAATTTATTTGCGGTTGTCATATTTGGTATTGACTCGAATGCAACAAGTTAAAGTTGTTATTTTTCCGCTCACACTTAAACGAGTAGACATGGCGTGGAACTTTAACGATTGTAATGTGATTAGATGTTTGTTTTCTTTTCCAGTACCCCGTCCTGTAAACTTTGCATTATGATTTGTTTAGTATAACAATTACAAAGCTTTGTTTTTCTTTAAATGCATTATTGGTGGCTAAAATTGTCATTTCATGTTTCTGAATTATAAACGGAAGTCTATCAGCGATTTGTCGGTTTCGTTTGTAGCTGTCACGGTTCTTGTTGATTCATACTTCTGGCAACGCTGGCTATGGCCCGAAGGAGAGGTCTTCTACTTTAACGCAGTTGAGAATAAAAGCCATTTATGGGGCGTATCCTTTTCATAATCCATGAAATGCACTTTTCAAGTATTTAATTTTATCAACTTATCTCCACTGCACAGCATCGTTTCACCAGTGTTCTTAGTAGGATAAAATTAATTTCTCACAGAGAAAGGTGCAATTATGAGTGAGTTACATTGCTTTTTCTTTTTGCATTCAGCCGCCTTTTTCATCCACTGAAAGGGAAAGTGGACTTTTTATTTTCCATCTTGATTCGTACAAAAGCCTTGGAAACTTTAACTGGAGTGTAACAACCGTGGTAACAATAATAATATCAGTAAACAAGTATTGATCCACGTAGCTCTCTATTGAAATTTTTCACGGGGTTAACGCCTTTGCTCAGCAGAAGTGTTCGAATTGACAGTGTGCTGGATTCTTTTGTTTCCATTATCAAAGATGGTTTGGGGAGCGTAGTTTTGAAAAAGTGTTGCGCTTGCATCAAATCCGTGTTTATGAAAACAGCTCCAGTAGCTGTACGCTTCACCAAGGTCTGTTCGTTGTTTTCCTGATAATTTTTCTCAGCAGTGGCTAATGTCGACAATGCTATTTAGGATGATCCCGTGGGCATTGCCCTGCACCTGCTTAATCCTTTATGACCATTCATAAATTCCATACTAATATTCGCTTTGTTGATTTCTTTAGTCCTGCTTTCTTTAACTCAGTTAATACTCTGAAATCAGACGATGCCGTTTCTTTGGTACTTTTTCAACGCATTGCCGAAGTCGCTAGTGACAACTCTGGGCCTAGTGCTTTGCTCAAATGTGGTGCTAATATTTTCCTCTCCTTCTGAAAAGTTTAATCGGGATGAACAGGTTCTACTGGGTCTTGAACTGGTGGCTCTCACATTCATCACAATCTACTCCTTCCTTCCCCATAAGGAGCTCCGCTTCATCATCTATGTGATTCCTATATTCAATCTCGTGGCAGCCTACTTTTGGGATTATGTGTGAGTTATAGGTTTACCTCATCCCGACAAGTGTTTCATGTCTTATTCCTTCTTCCTTCATCATCATCATCATCATCATCATCATCTTCTTCTTCTTCTTCTTCTTCCTTGCTCGGTTGCTATTTGTATATGTGCTTAACCAGTTTGTTTAATCAGTGAATCCTACGAAGAATTATTTAAATTAAGTAAACACAGCGCCTTAATAATCCGACAGATCTCCATTCCCGTCTCCTACTTTCCGACGTCGAATGACAATGAAGGAAAGTAACATTTCCAAACAGGGTGTAAAAAGGGTATCGTATTTTTTTCCTTTAAACTTACTTTCCAATGAAGAATGTTAGTAAATGTGTCTGATGCATTTCCTTTTGAACGCACGCGTTGGTTACTTCCAATTGTTTGCCATCTATCTATTTGTCTCACGAATTTGCTTCCATTATTCCACATTGTCATAGCGTTGTCAAGACAACTCACCTACTCATAACTTCTCTGCATACTTAAACAGCCGTTTTGCTCAATATGTATGAAGCTATTTCGTGAAGTCTTGCATCATATTTGTTTCATTGGTAAATTTCTACATCTCTGTCTAGTGAAATCCGCCTCCGCGTGTGTCGTAGCATCAAGGCTACTGGACAAGCGGGTTCTTGGAACATGAAGGGGCACAAAAAGCCGACTTCGCCAATTATGCACAGGATCTACTGGGTTGCTGTAGTCCTGTGTTATGCGAGCATATTTGTCAATCTCTGCGCTTCTTTTGGACTACTGTATTGCTCTTCATACAACTATCCTGGAGGAGAAGCCATTTCTAAGTTAAACACTTGGCCGGGCCTTGCCGAGCGACGCGGTGGGTTGTAGTGAGAAATTGATACTACTCAAAGGTTTTAAATAGAACATGTTTCCAGAGAGAAAATCTGGATGGATAACTGAGGTTTGTTACTACCTCAACTATCTTGTTATGCCACGGAGATTGCCTAAATCTCGGTGACAATCAACTGTCAGTCCGATCACTGTGGGTTTTAGTTCGTCCATTTTATATTTGCTAAAATGGTCTTATAGGGATTTCAACCACTGTATCTTAATTGTGTCTATGATGCATTCCTCATTTTTGCTTTCAGTAGTCATTTCTAATTAAGGCATCACTTGCTACCAGAGTTTAAAACAGGAGCCGTACTAACTGCAATAATTCAAACAAGATTTATCTGAAATATGTGGAAGACTTTGGAAATAGGTTTAAGTTGATATTCTATTTAGTCGTTGTTTGCATAAATCGTCCTTTCATAGTTGTCCGTACGAAAATCGCTACTGACTGTTGAAAACTGTCTGGGCTGGTCTTCCTCGTTAATGAGCAATTAAACACCAGTAGCGTTTGTCACAAAAGTCACGTTCCGTTCGTCAGTCGTTTCACAATTGAGAGAATTAAAAATTCAGTAATGGGATCACTTTTTAGGAGTCTTTAAACTTGCTTAATCTTTGGATAGGCCGATGTCTTGACGCATTACTAATCGTTTGATTTGAAAACATTTGTTTGGGATTGGATGTTAAGATATCGAATCTTCCGTAAAAATCTAGCCTGGTGCGTCACCGCCTCATGGCATGGTAGGGTAGCGCGTGCCTTGCCACCTCATATCGCCATGCAAATTACCGTTTCAATCCACGTAAGGTTCGGAAAACACCCTCATTGCATCATGCGAACGCCAAACCTTCGTCACATAAAAAAACGACTTAGTGATTTGCATTTTAGTGGTATCGCTCATGCCTAATAACCTTTATAACTTGTGCTTGAGTTCCCGAGGTCACAACACAACACACAATCAGTTCTCACAAGTAAGAACTGATTGTGTGGGTTTCTAGATATTTTCTAATCAATGCGAAATAAAAGCATGGGAGATGTATTAATACATAGATCTTCACCTGTTTTTTTCCATATGGTAGTTTTAGTCATGCCAGGGTACCTGCAATATCGAAAGGCGGTTCTGCATTGCTCCGCTGTGTGCTAACTTCGAGTTCTCTCCCGCTTTTCAGCGCAATATGCTTGACATTGTGTTGATAGAGTGGCGGCAGTAGCCGTCCATCTTACGCACGTGCTTAATGTTCATATGGCTTTAGTTATTTATTCAGACTGATCGACCTGTTCTCTTTGGAACTACAGGGTTCAACGACCAGTAAATATTATTTGATACAAGTGTAGTGAACTGGGTACAGACTTGTGTACAACGTTCTCATTTACTTGTTTTCTTAGATTGTGAAATGAAAGGGGATCCCTCAATGATGTTCAAGTTGCTTTAGACGCAATATTTTCATCTTATTTTATAATTATCAGTCGATAAAGTAATTTACTTCGTCTTGTTTTCTTACAGATGTGCACGTATTTGTCAGCAATCTTGCCGCCCAGACGGGCGTAAATCGATTTCAGCAGGTTCATGCTCATTGGACGTAAGTCTTCAGCTTCATAGTCTTTGTAACTGCAGCAAGCCGTAGAGTAGATTTCTTCTCCACAAACGAAATTTCCTTAATACGGGAATCACTTTATCAGGTTCGCTGTCTTTGGGGTGTCATTTGTTGCGAAACGCCTTGGTTTTGCACAGCCGGTGAATTTTAAGGACTGGTCCCTCATGAGCTCTGTCACTGTGTGGCCTAATGGATAATTCAGTAGTATCGAACTCAAATTGCAGCACCTTTCACAGAGGCTTCACCGATTTTCTTTGGTCATTCCCCCAGTCATTTTGCAGACCACCTGCGAACTTGGAATTGTTTGGGGTGCCAAAAGGGGGAAAAGAATACTTCCTTAAAGTCTTACTTTGCCGAAGTGTCCTTGAAACCATTCGCGTGGCTTTTAAGCGTGAGGCACTGTCCGATTTTCGTGTTGTGCCAACGTCGAGACCCCCGAGTCCTGCTGCGCATTTCGCTTCCCCAGCTACGTCGGTGCTGGACTTGGGTTCATGAAGGGCTTGCTTCGAAGGCGAAAAGAATGGGTCTTTTCTCTGAACACATTTATTTCTTTTGTCTACGATCTACCTCCTCTGAAAGCCCATTAATGTTCGGCTACACCACTTCTATTGTTGACAGTTATAAAACTAGGCGATGAATATACTTGTTTTGAATATCATTTATAACTAGAGCCACATGATCTCTGAGTTATTTTAGTAGCTGCTTGGTCATAAATATGTTAGTGCGTAGTTCGTATGCATGATCTTCACCGTCATGGAGTATTAATTTGTCAGGTAGTGATCGGATGGGAGGATTTCAACTTCATTTGGTGGTAGCTTTTTGTGCCTAAGCTTATTTCGATTCTTATTTCGAATCTTTGAGTCTCACCTAAGACCATTTAGAAAACTGCTTCCATGCTGACGTTCTTAGCAAGTGTGAGGTAAACCTGTTTCAAAAGTGCATGTGTTGTTTTTTACTTGGTAAATACATAATCACAGTACTTTAGGCCGAAGTAATGCCCTCTAAAAATGGTTTTTCCACGAATTCACCGCTGTCGATCAATTCTTTGTCATACAATGGATTTGATGGATTAACTCTTGGTGGCCTAAATGAGGCAACTATCATTTCGCACACTTTAAAGCTTAGGTGGATTCCCTTTTAAGTAATGGCTGCCTAACCAAGCAGTACAATAAGCAACTACTCTACAATTTAGGGGTCGTTTGAGGGTCTGGCTCTTAGATTTTGTGTTTTTTTTGATCATGCCTCTTCTGAAGATAATGTTTATTCTTTTTTGATAGATACAACAAAACGGAACACGTCGATGACGACACCGACGCCCTAGTCAAAGGGCCTTTCACCCACTTTATTGTGGAAGCCTCCAAGGACACTCTAGCTGCTCGAACTGACGCCTTCCGAAGGTTGTTCACGGTGATTTCTTTTTCCGGCATCAAATACATTCCTGAGAATACGTTCTGGAGCAAATTCAAAGTTTCTCTAGTACCAGCTCTAGTGGTATATGAACGAATCAATCAAATATGAACCTTTTCAACATTTTATCTTCTGCGTTATATTTCAAGCTGATTGATAGAATTTATTTAGTAAAAAATGGCATTGATTTATCTTTACTTGGTTCCAGTGCTAGGAGCACTAATGCATTTAGTTTACGCGAGAAAAGTCGTTTTTTTATGACTACATACGTGTAAGCGATAAGCAATTTCAACAGGTGTATTAACATACTGGAGGCGAATGAAACGACGTCTAAGCTCACCTATTTCGAATTAAGAAAGCTTCTTGGCATTAAGAAGGATTTCGTTGAATAGCCATGTGTGGAATATTAATGAGATCTTTTGGCTGCTCGTGTTATGCGTACTTTATGAGCTAAAATATTGGTTTGAAAAGGTGGCCCATGCATTTGCTATAGTACCATTTCCCTTTTTTATCGTGTCTATTGGCTCCTAACGTAAACGCTTTGCATCTGAATGGATTAATTCCACAAAACTGGTCTTTTCGAGTTTCGTACTGCACTTTGGCGGTGCAACGTCTCAATTTTAATGACAACCGAATCAGCTACTTTTTTATATTTGGGGAATATCGAAATTGGAGAAAATTTAAGATTCGTTTGCTTGATATTTTCATTATTGACTAATGTCCTGTCAATGTCATATATAACAACAAAATTTTGTATCGAGCGGAGCAATTTTGTTGACCCAAAAATCTTTTACTAGTTGTAACAAACTTATGGTCATCATGACTTGTGGCGCTGGATTTAAAACAAAAGGTTGAATCACTTCAAACTTTGAGAAGATGATATGCAAGGAAGCATGCAACCTTTTGCACTTACTTCGTTACCATTGTTAACAACTGCTAACTTGCGTGGATTAAAGCACTAAGACAGTCTAGTGGTGGAGCCGCTGAAGGTCCACGAAATGGGTAGATATTGAATGGTGTCAAGCATTGAGACCAGAATTAATGCTTTGCTTAAACATGGACGACCACAAGGAATTTTGGCACTACAGTACTGTTTGCTGTTAAAATCATTGAGGTGCGCTTTCTAATTTCCCACTCTTGAGCTCAAGCATGACATACGGTAGCCTGTTTGCATAGATTCTATTTAAAGGTTGAACTTCTGAGGGCGGTGTGTATTTTACGAATGAAGTCGGACCATAAGGCTCTGACGACACTGTGATGCAATCCTGCCTTTAGTTTGCGGTTGCTAGCACACTTTTACTATAAATTTTGGTACTTTTGCGTCGGCATGCGATTTGAGCTCAACACTTACTATTGATTCAGGGTGGGGTTTTTAGTATGTGCTGCATTAACAACGACGCTACAATTTGGCACCAATGCATTAGTGCCTAGACGCTAAAGTTGTCTTTATCAAAACACTAGACTATGAGAAAGTCGCGTTTTTAAGGTTCACATATCATAAAGTGGACGGCTAGTTTGGTCACCATTTTTGCGCACCTCAATGTAAGAAGTTTCTTCAATTTTGCAGTGTTATTTAATGTAGAAAATATTCGTGTTTAAATCAAAATATGGAAACATTACAAAAATCACAGTATTGGAGTAGCCAGTATTGAAACGTACTGAGACATCTAAAATGTCGTTTTCGGGTGGGGGATAATGGAGAATAAACAACGCTGAAATTGTGTGAACCTAAGAAACAGCATTTATCAAAGAGGGATGGGAGTGGGCCATATTTACCCTTACGAGGTCACCAGTCTCACGTAATTTGCTGGGAAGAGACCTTTCTGGCCGGTTTTCTTGCGTCTTCCGTACAACCATCCAACTTCCTAGAAAGCGAAATGCTAGTTGGAGTGTTGCCACAACAAGACATTGATTTTCCCAGCCCTTATTAGTGATAAATCAGGCAAATGGCAGATTGTTTTACAAGCAAATTGTCCTGATTCACAGCCCCTGTGGAAAGAACGGTGACTTCACTTTCAAGGGTTTAGAAATGCATTTAGGGCCTTAATGACAGCTTCCAGTCTGATGATAAAATGCCTAATTGAAATGAAATTGATTTGTTTGATAATAATGCCAACTAAAAAGTTCCATTAGCTCATTATTTCATTTCTTTCAGACATTTCACGGTACTTAGACAGGAGTCTAAACAAACAGATTCGTTATAATTGATCAATTTCATTTTAAATAATACAGCGTATAATCCAGCTTCTTGGGATAAGGATGAGAATCGGACGTCAGGTTCATAAAAGCATAATGCACTCTGCACATAGGTCTGTGTCGCATTCAAATTTGACAACCGACCTCGAATTTTAATGGGACTTTAAGAACCTTCCTCAATAGGTTAAATAAACTTGCAAATAATCCACAGAACTAAGGTGTGTAGACCTGAACCTGCAGCCAGGTCGCCTGGTTCAAACCAGAATTCCGCAATGAGTGCTGGTAGTGAAGGAGCATGGCCCACCTACGAGCACGGCCTTGCCAATGTCTACCCTCTGGATGAAACGAAAGCAGCCGGCATGCATTAGACCCTGTCAAGTCTCAGCTCCTAGCACATTAAACGAAAGCTTAATAACTAGGCGCCAAGCCCTGAGCCATTGATTAGCAATGGTGATTTTATAAGTAACCACGTAGCATTACTTTAAAAGGACGACAAATGGATGCCAGGGGTTAACAGTAAAAGCTTTTGCCTGAGAATGGTCGGATCACTGATGAATTGATGACTGCCTAGCATTTATTTGCGTATACCTACTTAGTTCAGGAGAAGTCGGGTCGAGAAAATTTTCGACCATAAACTGTCTTATGGGCGGATGGACAACTGCTTAGGCAGATTAAATACAATTACAACTACGCTTGTTAGTATGCCTGTGTGGAACGTACGCAGTAACCACTGAGCACAACTAACTTGAAAATGAATTTGCAATCGTCTTCTGCATGGGTCACATTAAAAAATCAGTAAGAAAAGCGGAGACGTGGTGAGAAATAAACAATCAATTGTGCAGTCTCGAATCGGCTGTGCACCCCCGGTGCTTTTGCGTGCATGAGTCAGTAATTCAGATACGAGGTCTGTATCGAGTTTCAATCGTCCGAACATCGGATAAATCAACTTACGAAACTAATTTTCTATAAATAAACCAAAATTCAAAAATTAAGGAGGCCTTTTGGTGCAAACTACTGGCGAAGGATGAATTTTACCAAATTAAACTTTGAATTCAAGCAAATATGGACTTAAGAAGTTTTTGAATCAGGTTGTATTAAGGCCCACTTAAGTGGCTTAAATCGGTTATCCTGTTGTCATTATCGACAATGGTCGTTAAGCTGAATGCATAGTTTGTGTAACTACTACTTTTAGGGGGTCTTCTGACAAAATATTTCAGGATTTCAGGGCACTGGTAAGCCATGACAACGGATGGCAGCGCCCCCACGTAGAAACCATGTCAATATCCAACCACATTGAGTTGGGTTTTGACCCCTCAAATTTCGTCCCACTAGACATCGAGTTTAAATCCCATTAACGTGATATGTACATGATATCCAACTTGGGTACATTTTATTTTAGTTTTCCTCTAAACAAATGGGGGAAGACTCAATCAAATTTGCGTCATTTTGAGGGGGGCTCGGTTACGTAAAATTGAGTCAGAATTCAAGTGCAGGGCAATTTTATTTTGACTGCTTTTACCCATAACGATGTGCAGTGCCATTCAACTTTAAAAATTCTTAAATTCACGTGATCCAGGTATTTCGCTTTCCCAGTAAAATCCAGCTTGTGCGTCATGACGATGCTGGGGCCTCCTCTAAGACATGAGCCCCGGTAGTCAAGTTGTAGTGTTCTTTAGTACATCACAATTCTGTTTTGAGTTTCTGATTAGAAGCTTCCTGCTACCTGTCCGAAGGGTGATCAAGCAGTAGGCAAATGACTGGGGTGTTAATTAAAATATGCGAAAATACGAACAAAACTCATTTGTGCCATTAGAAACTCATGACATTAGGTTTCTGTGTAAAGGAGATAGGTGTCCACAATTTTCACAATCAAGCAATTCCATATAACCACCCTATACAAATAAACCAACTAATGGCACAAACGGACATTTTACTATTTAATTTGGTCAACCAGAACGACTAACTGATTCAAGATGCAGGGGGTTAAGAGGGGTGAAGTGATACAGTAGTGGTGTTTTGATACAGGTTATATGACATTCGCCCATTTTAAGTTGGTTTGTGACTTGAAATTCAAATTAGGAAAAGCGATTAGTCAAGTTTTTGAGATGTCTTATTGTAGGAATCAGTATATATTCCAAGAACACATCTAAATGCTATCTCCCTGAGCCTAACAACCTAGTTTGAATATTCTATATAAAAGATAAGGGGATCATTGACCAGAAGAAAGAAACTGGCCTTAAACATAATATACCGGTCTTTTTTGGCTATTTTAACCTTATAACTTGTTGCGTAACACGGTGGAGATCGGTGTGGGATGTTGTAAGTTTCTTATTTATTAAGTAGATTAGCACCTAGATGAAATAAGTAATTGAACAATTGAAGCCTCAGCAAAATTCTATCCTTACCTCGTCTTCAGGTTCGCTCCAGGGAAGAACAGTAACCAATTCATCAGCCTCGAATTGCAGTTCGTCTTGCTCTTCGGAGGTGTAGGGATATGCAGCGATCACCTGACCGCAAAATGCAACGAGAAAAGGAAAAAACCGATGAAAAAGAACTTAGGAATGGGGTACCGATTCGCCAAGGTTATCACGCTAGAATGAATTCGAATATTTAAGGAAACATTTAAGTATTCTGCGCCCCAGTAAAACCAGATTTCATGTTTTAATCTGCAGGTACTTCTGTACATAATTTTCCCTTTCAATATGTGACGATAAATTTATGATCCTTACTGATTTAGATTTCACTTCTAGTCTAAAATGTCGGACCAAATGAATTAAATTGGATAGCTTAAATATGACGGATTTGGGCGTTTTTTGGCCTGGGCATTAAATAATGAGTTTAATCACAAGATGACCTATGTAAATGGAGAATTTTAGTCGAGTATGTCTAATTGGCAAACGGTTACTTAAGTTTACCATGTGATTTAAAATCTTGAAGAGTTTATGGATTAGAAAGACCTCAATAAGTTCAGTTAAAGGTTTTCAACTATGCATCATATAGATGTGGTAAGGGTTTAGTAAGACTAATTACGAGTTGCGTCCCAGTGACGTGACACCAGGGAGAAAGGCAGTACAAGTCAGCCAACATCATTTTAATCTCAAATATAATTTGCGTCTCCTTGGTTAAGAGAGAGAGAGGCAGACAAAAGAGGTTATGTCCAAAACGACATACTTTTGTGATAAATTTTTAATGACCACTCTTTTTTTGTAAACTGGTTCACCAGAAATAAGTGTAACCAGAATCTACCACTAAAACGTTTGGTCACTTGCAATTTGGGATAATCTTCACTATACCTGCCAAGTCTACATAAGCAAACTTTTAAGGTAACTACACGGAATTTATGAAGCCATATTTCTATCCGAATACAATTACATTCACTTCTAGGTTAAGAATCTGATCAATATCTTTGTTCCACCGTATGGGACTAAAAACAATATAGCATTAATTAACTAATCACCTTGACGCACTGGGTGAATGTGACTAAGGCAATTACCGTTTCGACGCACACGAGATCAAAATTAGCAAACTTAAATTGTTATCAGTGTTTCCCCGCATTCCATATTTGAAGGAAACAGGTCCAATAGGTTTAATCTATCATGAAAACACAAAAGGTAAAAACCTACATCGAACGGCGGCGTACGCGATGTGAGGTCGCTGGTTGTGTTTCCGGAACTCTCGCTATCGTTTTTCATGTTGCCAGTCGTGTGCTCAGAGGTCGACGCAGGAGAGGTTTCACTTTGCGTTAGCACTGCTGATGGGGAATTTCGAGCATTCCTGACTAAGTGGGTTCGCTTAGGTGACGCTTTGGGTGCAGTTGGCTGATGGGGACTGAATTCAGAAAGGCCCTGTATATTTTTCGCATCACTGGGTTCCGAGTACTCGTTTGTAGACAGCAACGTTTGTTCGTCAACCGGTGCTGCCGTCTAAGCAAAGAATAACTCGAAGTAATTTTGATGTGGTATTGCGGTTGAACGCTTCCGTGCACACAGACGCAGACCTTAGCGAAGTGGAGCATATGTCTCAACAGTACAATATTATTTTAGTCGAGTAGTTGAATGGTTTGGAAAACGCTTCGCTTTAGTAATCAACTCATTGTAAGCTCACGTTCACAGGAATATCCTGGTGTAACCAAAACTAAGACCCGACCCGCTGTTTGTTTAAAGCCCGCAAAGGCCCTTCTGTCCTTAGTTGATTTCAGAGATGTTTGAATTGTCTAAGCAAAATCTAGCGTAAAAATAAACGACTCACAGAACATCCGGGTGATCCAGGAACGCTAAAAAACGAAAAATGGGTGAATATTTTGAATGCATTTTCCAAAAAAAGTTAAAGATAATACCTGGAAGAAAGTGGCGAAGAGCTTAGATTTCCGACATCTTTTATCAGTTCTTGTATGTTTTTAGTTTCCTGTAAAATAAAGTGAACATTACGGAAAGATAAGTTGCTAACTCGTTAAAAGGAACGATTTACAGGCCTTAGCTCAAACTTTTAATTTTGCCAAATAGATCACGAATGGTTAAGTTCCAAAAAAGGACTCAACTCAGGCAATTCGTACATATTCAGGCAAAAGTTTTCTTCATGTACATTATATGCAACCACATGTGCCGTTTCGGATAAACAATATGCCTCTATTGTTTCAGGAAAAATCCCGGATTCATTAATAGCCGTGGTCTAAAATTATAATTTAAAAAAGTTTCCTAGAGAATCACGTGGAACGAAACACATACCCGGATGCTCAGAAAGGCAATGCTCTATGATCATTTAACGTAATCTGGATACAGCTACGAAACTAACGCTTTCCAAGATACACAAATAATTTTACAAACCCATTTTCCGTTGTTGACTGTTGAGTTAGTCACACAGTGTTTTTGATGCTATTTTTAATTTATTTCTACACTTCTTATTCACAGTGGTAAATGCATTCTTTTTGTTAACTAAAATTAAGGAAAAAGTAGAGTAAATCATCTGCCTTTCTAAATACTTACCTCTAGTACCATATTAAGATGTTGAATTTTCTCACCGAAATAAGTGGCCATACATTCGTACAACTTTTCACGGCTCCTTCAATAAACAAATATACTGATAATTCGTAAGGGGTAAAGAACAAAAAGCAAGACTATGGAAAATCATAGACGATATCACGGGGGATGGAACTCAGGTATAGGAGTAATGCTTAGAAATCTAGAGTACTCTATGGATTTATAATTTTACACGTAATGGGAAGCGGTAAACCTTTAGGGAGGATTGCTACAGTACGCCGAAGCTTGAGGTTACGTGGTCTTCAACCGATTAATGCCTATTAACACTCTCTGTCTGCCTGTTCCGAATTCCGGTTCCCTGTCCCATCCACCTAAGCCAAAGACCGCGCACTTCACCTCATAACACATTACAGTGGGTTTTTTTCAGTGGGAAAAAAGGCCCAGCAATTCCATTCGGCTCGTTTGTCACGCATGCTTCCCTGACACCGCACACAACCAATTCTACGGTCAACCTTTCAGATATCCTGTCAGAATGAAAGTTTGTAGCATCGACATCGAATCACCCAAATGTCCTCAATCATCTCCGAACAACGCTAAATCTGCGGAGGATAAATCGGTTGAGCGCCACATTACATACAGTCTTCCTCTCTTCCTGACCGGTTCGTACCCAACACCGATTGTTGGCTCCGATGCGGTCTGAGATCAACAACGGATCTTATACAGACATTAAATCGAAACACCAAATCTCCATCTTCTAAGAGTGAAAAATTATTTCTGGAGGCACGTATTTTATTGATATCCAGCCAACGCGAGACTTTCATATTAGGTATTTAAGCACTGAAAAAAAAGGCTAAAATATGAAGCAAGGCATAGTCACACCAGCTATGATTCGAGTTTCTAGCTTCTATAATTACTTAAGAAATATTACAGTGGAATAAACTGTCTCCGAAAATAACGTCCTATTATCCATTTCAAAATTTTGGCACTAACACGGTACTTCACGTATTCGAAAAAATTCTTTGTAAATTACTGGCAGTTTCTAGTTAGCATTAATAAAACATACATCTCTATCGCACGGGGCAACGTTTGGTCAAGGTTTTGCATATCTTCCAAAAATGTCATCTGAGCTGATTCCATTGCTTGCTTTTCCTGACAAAAGTAAAAGCCGAAGAATTCACGTTAGACTGGAATGAAGTGAAACTTATCAAAACCACGATAGCGATAGTCCCATCAAAAATTGTACTCTACCACCCAAATGATACGCTCTATTTGACATGAATAAATTTCATGAAGCTTCAACGTATGGTGAAGCTTGGGTAATTCTACTAATACTACCAGAATCCTGAAATACAAATCAAAACCATTCTCTCCAGACTTTTAAACACGGACACCAACAGTGCCGTCTACTTGGGATGCAGACGGCTCTGGAGGCGCTATGAAATGTCCAAAAATTCATATTTCGCAATGAAATAGGTTATTAACAAATAAATATTAAAGTGCAGTTCAGTAAAGTGCTGATAAAAAAATTACTTGAGTTTTCATTTGTCAGTTGATCAGTCAAAATCGATCTTAGATGGCACTACCATTTCACCAAGTCAAATTTTGTAAAAGTGTACGGCTATCTAAAATTGGTTAAACGTCAAAGATTCCCCCTGGTATTATGTGAAACCATATTTGTACGTCTGAATCAAAGTGTTATTTAAAACTTACGTTCCGGTTAAACAAACATTAAATGCGGATCCTATGACGATAATTGTAGCAACTTGACAGTCAAAGATATACGCGAGAGTTTTGGAAATATTAGCAGCTTACGTCATACTTGAAGGAAAAAAACGACAGCAAGCAGTAGAATAAAAATCTTGATGAAAAGATAAGATGCAAATAACCAGTGAAACCTCATGACTAATCAAGTTATTTCCTCAAGTAGAAGTTATGCCCTAACACTGGAAGTGTTCACATGCATATGCTCACCTGGCGCGACTTCAAAATATACGATGTTAGAATAAATCAACAAAATGAAAATGACCTCACTCGTTCTTTTTTCAGTTCAGTGGCTTTCTGGAATATATTTTTGCTAGCCAAGTAGACGCTGTAATGTTCTTCCGCAGTTTTAATCTTTTTCTAAAACAACCAGAAAGTAATAAAACTAGCAAATATGCTAACCGATTCCTTCTCTAAATGCCTTTTTGATTCAATAATCTCTGCAGCAAAAGGAACACCACTGATCACCGGAAAGTGCGATGTAGACTTCTATCAGTTGAATTGAACAAACAATATCTTACCTTAATGTTCTCATTGGTTTTCTCGTACAAATTAAAGAAACGAACCAAATCAGTCTCGAATTCATAGCATATTTTATCAATTTCTATAGGTCGAGAAGAAATATAATCATAAACAAACCTTCAGTTTTGGCCAAATACCTCTTCCATTGATCACTAAGTTTGCGGAGTGCTTCCTAAAGAAATTATAAAGGTCTATAGCTTACCTTTTGATTCCTTACTTTATTGTGGTAATCCTGCAGCCTCTCGTAATCGGACCCATTAATGCATTTTTGAGACGTCTTCAACTACGCCGTCAATTTTTTTAACGATCTATGCTTACTTTCTGTCCTGTTTTTGTGATAGTTAGTCGAACTCTTCTGCTTAGCTTATCCTTGATGCTAGTTTTGCCCCCCACATTATTACTGTTGTCTAGGGTCTGACTCATTGGTTGAATATTTTAGCCCTAGCAAAAAAGAGGATGTTAATAAATTCCATCACATATGTGAGAGGTCAGCAGTGGTTCTTTGTAACCTTGATTTTAGCAAAGGTATTAGCTCTTGGATTTGCAACCAATCTAGTTTTTTTCATAATTTCAAAAGAAGATTCTCTTGCCAGTTTTTACTAGCCTTCAAAGGTAACCGAATTGTTTGATCAATAAAATTGTTAGGACATATTCGATTTACGAAAGCGTTAAAGGATAATGCCTCTTATAAACTGCTAAAAAATAAAAGTTCAACAACAAAATCTTCATCAAAAAGTAAGGTGAAAAATGACGCCGACGCCTTTTCCACGTGAAAAAATGACTCAAAATAATCAAGACATACACAAGAATTAATTAGTGCAAAAGTATAGTTAGCTTGACATGCAAAAGGGACCTAGTTTTACATTAAAGCACTCATTCAAGCCCAGTAAAAACCAAAATGCCAAGAATTGAACTAGAGCATAGTCAAAGACCGTATTTCATGCTCGAAATTGCAGCGTTTAATTTATATTGTTTTATAGGACCACAAGATGGCCATTCAGGCGTAGGTTTCTAGACATAAACCAAATCAGGTATTCTGGACAGCGAATGATTGCGAAGACATTGCTGTTGGGTAAGAAAAACAATTTTGTCGCAAAACTCAGACAAAGTGAATTTTAACCTAATGAACACATTTTTAGGACAATATCTTTTGCCATCGTCTCTAGGTACCAATTAACCAAAGGCGAAGGATCACATTCGGTAATTAACGACTTACCACGCACAAAGGCACAATCAAATGACAGCTAATTTCCCAATTAAGCTCAACCAATTAGAATCATGGAAGTAGATATCAGTGTTGCATTAGTTTTGTTTGCACATAAATTTTCAGACACAGAATGATTGATTTACTGATTTGGAACATTAAAACTATATCGATGATTGAAAACTTTTGTCGAAGGAAGTACGGAATCCTTATTTCAAACCACATTTGACTTTGTAAAATCATCAGGAGAAAAGCTGCTTCGTCACGCACGCCACAATCCAAACCAACGAACTCTATTCATGCCTGGTAACTTATTTCTATATTTTCACCTTTTTAGGCCTGCTTAACAAGTAGTGTATGGGTCGTTTAATGTCTCCCGAGCTCTATCACTCAGTTAGCCCCCTTTATCAACCATTCATCTTGCAACCGTGCTCCGAAGTTTCCTGTCACCATTTCATGTTTTACTCCATTTGGTTGCCTGGTCTGTGTATCTCTTCTCTTAGGTCAAATCCCTGCTCGCACGTTACACTATGATTTAAGTTTAATACATCC